ATGTGGGACTCGATCCCAGGACCCTGGGATCATGACCTGAGCCAAAGGCAGACGCTTAATGACTGAGCCACCGGGCGCCCTCCGGGACTGTTCCTAAAAAAGTGGGGAATGAATGCAAAGGCCACCTCGTTATGAGATTCCATCCTAACATTAGCCCATTGGTTCTCAAAAAGTATTTTCCCCACCTCAATGCATTTCAACCAAGAAAAGATCGGTAACTTGAGAGTTTCCAGATGGTTCTGATGTATATCCTAGTGGGAATGTTCTTCTGATCCCACATTGGAAACCGCAGCCCTACTCAGTGACCACCCAAATATTGTGCCATTAATCACAATGCAAACAGAGTATAAATGGCTCAAACACATTCTGTGCACAGCTGGAAAAGATAATTCATGCCATTTATTGATTTATCCAACAAATATTTAGAAGCCGTCCTCCCAACTCTCCCTAATATCACTCCTGTATATACAAAGGGGAGGGTTTGTTTACCATTACAATTCACTGCTGATTTCCAAATTTACATTTACAGACCACATCGTCCATCCACAGGAGACTGGCTGGACTAAACGTGCTAGATGCATACAATGGAATATCGCCCAGGCTTAAGCGGGAAGGGAACTCCAACACACACTGCAACATAGGTGAACCTTGAAATAAGCCAGTCACGAAAGAATAAATATTGTGTGACTCCACTTATATAAGGTACCTAGGGCATAAAATTCACAGAGACAGAAAGTAGAGGGTGGTTACCAGGGCCGACGGGGGGGAAGGGGGAATTAGTGTTTAATGGGGACAGAGTTCCAGTTGGGGAAGATAAAACGTTCTAGAGACAGGTGGTGGTGGTGGATGCATAACCATGTGAATGTACTTAATGTGACCGAACCTTACACTTAAACATGCTAAAATGGTAAAATAATAATAACAAAATAAATTAAGTAAAATAAATAAATGTCATGAGTAGGTAGCAGAAGACAACAAAGACCTCAAATTTTGGTGTTATTTCCTACAGAAAATAAAACAAATAATGCAGCAAGTTTAAAGAAATAAAATAGATCCTCAGCGGCATGACTGAGAAACAAGAGAGGATCAAAAGAGGATAGGAGGGTTTGAAAAAGAAGGAAAGAAAACGTCTAGAAATGTTTAACAAGAATCTAAAATTTCACAGATTATAATAAGTGGGGCAGTAGGGTTTGAAA